ACCTGCAGCAAAAATAACTCACAAGGAGTCCCCTGCAGCAGAAATCCCTCACTCTTCAATATAAAAGGAGGGCCTCTCTCCACCAGGATTCTCTTTTCCCCCATCAACCTACAGGAGTAAGTTGGTCACAATTAGTTAGTCAGTAGTGTGATTGTCAGAATTAGTTAAGTAAAGTCAGAGATTTATAAGTAGTAGAACCAGAACCATTGAACTATAACAAAGTGAACTTAAGTAGTATTATTAACAAATAACAAATAACAAGTAGTAGTAGTAGTAACACCGGAGCTCTAGTTGTGATTAAAGTGCCTTAGCAAGAAATTGTTCGAGGAAGAGATCATTAACAAACTCTAAATAACAAATTCAGCTGTCTTGCGCTTAACCATAAGCGCCACAGTTTCCATTATTAACCTGAAGTTGTAACAGATTCATTAGTAGATTGATACGTGATCTAGGTCTGATAGAGATTACTTTACAAAAGTAAGATCTATCTTGGAATCAGCCACATATTATTAAATATTGATTACAAGACTCTTAGTTATTTGTTTAGTACAATTAGAGGGGCAGGTCTTTCAAACCACCCGTAAGTTGTAATAGCCTTTCAACCTATTTGCAATTTATTTCCCCCTCAAGGGATCTTTTGATATACATATACTTTACCGTGTCTATCCGTCCCAGGAGTCCTACACCGTAAGTTGTAATAGCCTTTCAACCTATCTGCAATTTATTTCCCCCTCAAGGGATCTTTTGATATACATATACTTTACCGTGTCTATCCGTCCCAGGAGTCCTACAGCGTCAGAAATGGAATCTGCGGCCAATTCAACCCCTAGTCACTCACTGGAACCACCTTCATATCTCTACTGGATCAGAAGTTACACAGAATCAAGGATGTCACATGGAGAATCACAGGATCAGAGGCACTCAGCTGGAGGGTATATTGCATGGGGGTATATTGCATATTGCATATTGAATTCCTTTTATACTTACATAACCACAAGTTGGCCACCAGTTGTACCAGTTAAATTCCCATTTATTCAGCCACAGAACACATGAATTCCTTTCTTACAGCTTACATATAAAAGGAATGTGTTGTAGATAGTCTAGCCAAAATCCCTCAGTATTTTCAGGTAAAGGGCAGCTAATATGCCTCATACAGGGGGTCCCTTGGGGCTAAAATCCCTCATAATTTACTATATAAGGAGGCCTCTGCCTGCCAGTTGTTTTCCTCCGCATCCCACTCAGTACACATTTTTTGGTGGGACACCTGTCACAGATATTTATTACACAAGAGGTTCACAAGTAGTACAGTTCACAGTTGAAATATATACACAGTTTCACAAACATTACACAGAAGAACCAGTCCTTTGTTCCAGTCCTGGTTGAAGCATAGTGCTCCCAGACCATTTGGGTTCAAGAACCACCTCTATTACATTATACATATACAGCATCAAGGAAGAAAACAAGTATCAAGACATCAATACGAGAAACAACATCAACAACTCAATCAATTCTTTGGACAACAAGATCAAACTTCAACAATTATACAACCATCTTTGAACATAATCCATTATCAACAACCAAACTGCCAAGCTTACCTTGGTGGTCTTTTTTTCTGATAATATAGAAAGGCAGAGTTTGCAGCTCATTTCATCCCTTTCTCCATTCAGCAAAAAGGATCTTACAATCTTTTTTTGAGTCTTACAGCGGGTATCCGAGCGGGTATCCTCGGATACCCGCCCTCTAAAGGGCCGGCTGGAAGGGTCTCCTTCCAGCTGGCGAGGTACTTGTACCTCGATGGCTGGAAGGGTCTCCTTCCAGCTGGTCGACCGGAAGGGTGTCCTTCCAGTCAACGAGGTACTTGTACCTTGTCGACCAGAAGGGTGTCCTTCCAGTCGACGAGGTACTTGTACCTTGTCGACCGGAAGGGCTTCCTTCCAGCCGGTGTAGTATGCCAGTTGTGTTTCAAGTATCAAATTGCATACAGTCATAGTCCAATATGTAGAAGGGCATATATTCTTAGGTGTATTATGGCATAATCACATTCTACGGGTTATTTAACCCATAGTCACTCATTGGAACCACTAGGCTAGCTCCACTCAGTCAAAAGTTATTTGGGATTTAAATTTTATTTGCATACAAAAATGCTTATTGCATAATGTAAACCACAATTTGGCCTTAGTTTTTTTACATATTCAATATTCATTGCATATGGTAACCACAAGTTGGCCACATTGTTTGTAGGTACACAGAGAATCTTGTATAAGTAGCAAAACCACAATTTGGACGGATTTTATGCATATTCACTATAGGTTAGGGCTAGAACCACAAGTTGGCCATTTATAGATTATAGGTTAGGGCTAGAACCACAAGTCAGCCGGGTTGTAGAATAGACTATTTAAGGAGGGGCTTTCCCCCCTCATTCCAATTTTTCATCATCTCATCATCTCATCACAACAGATCATCATCTCATCTGATCAGCAACCAGACAGAACAGAGCAATCAATCCATACATTAACCAGTGTGATCTTAATCAAAGTGCCCCATTGAGATCATTCAGACATTGAGAAGCATAGGAAAAAGAAAGTAGCAACCAGTACAACTTGTGATCTTAAACAAAAGACAGTGATCTTAAACCATTGTGCTCTTGACCAAGATTCAAGGAGGAAGGGAAAGACACTTTCAATATTCATATTTTTCCTCAAGTATCATCTCATAAATTCACATTCATCATCAGTACATACGTCAATCATTTTTCAAAATACATAAACATATAAACAAAAACACCTCTTACTCCACATTTCCACTCAAATAGTCTGCTGAAGCCACATTGATCTAGGTTTGATAAGAGACTGCTACACATAGTTTTCTCTATCATCAGTTTTGCCACAACAATAAATAAATTGTTGTGTTAACTCTAGTGTAGTACAATAGAGGGGCAGGTCTTTCAAACCAGCCGTAACAGTGGTAGTAGATCATTACATACGTGATATACCTCATCTGCTATTTCCCCCTCACAGGACTGCCACCATTCCCAAAGGAGTTCTCACACCAGCAAGGTACAAGTACCTCGTCGACCGGAAGGGTGTCCTTCCAGTCAACAAGGTACTTGTACCTCGCCGGCTGGAAGGAGACCTTTCCAGCCGGCCATCTCCCCTTCCGGCCGCGGGTATCCTTTGGGATACCCAGATACCCGCCAACCCTTTGCGGAAAAGGGGCCATCCGCACCCGTTGGCGGGTATCCGTTGGCACTGGCGGGTATCCGCCAGCGGATAACGGGTATCCGCCAGCGGATAACAGGTATCCGCGACGGATACCCTTTGACTATCTCTATCACAAACCTCAATTCACCTCTCAGTTATGCTTATACACAGCCCACGGTATAAAAATAATTTCCCAAACCTCTTTATCTCCACCACATATATTACGTTTGTTTTATTTGTCACCTCATGCACTGCCTTTGCATGCTGCGCAGTCTTGATTGAATTACTTTTCCCACAGTTTGATAATTTTCTCACCCCATTTATGACAACAGCTGAATTTTTCCCACAATTTATTGCCTCATTTGACACTTTCTCATATTATTTACGCACTGCAGCACAGCCTTTGACGTCAATGTACACAGCCTCACAAGCAAATCTCCCTCACTTGCATGATCAGACTAGCTAAATTCACTCATTTGTACCTACAGGCCAGCTAAAATAACTCTTTGCTGTCTGCCCTGAAGCTAAATTCCCTCATATTTTCCATAAAAGGAGGCTCTTTCCCCCCATTTGTTGTCTCCTCAGTTTATTACTCATTCATTCAATCAATCACTCATCAAGTTACAACACAAAATATTACACAACATTATATTAGCCTTTCATATGTTACATAACATAAGAGTCTTATTTTATCAGCAATTAACATATTCAACCTTTAATTTTCATCAAACAAAGTTTTACCTGAACCGACCAATCCTATCACATTTTCAAAACTTTCCAAGCTAAGCTTGGGGGGCTTGTTTCTGATAGTATAGAAGGGCAGATTTTGCACCTCCATTTTTCCCCTTCTAAATTCAGCAAAAGTGTTTTACACCCACTTTTGATCCTTACACCGCATTGGTGTGGTGTAAATCCAGGATTAGCTGGGGTCACATGCGTGTCGATTGCGCAGTTTGGCTCTTAATCCCAGGATTAGTGATGAGTAACTTTACTCCTACTTAGCTCAAATCCTACTCTGGGATTAGTTTATTCAAACTAACTCAGACCCAATGCAGTTGAGTTCTTGGACTAGCTTGGAGTAGTTACACTAATCCAGCCTTAATCCAGCAACCAATGCAGTTGCTCTAGTACATATATAAAATTTCCTACAGAATATCTTTTGATGAATACACAGATATTCAAGTGCCTGCCAACCAGTCATATAAACTTACACAATTTTTTCTCAAAACATGCATACATATAATCAAAACTTCACTTCTTCTTCCCTTTGCCATCTTTATGATAAAGATTTGTCCTTTTCTGGAAATTGGTTTCAACTTTGAAGTGTGGGCTTACAGACTTTTTATTTATTTGAAATTTGATTGGAAAAGCATAAGATTTAATTCAACATCAGCTTTCTCAAACATTCCATTCTGAGAAAATATACTGAGTCCTCCCTTTTTTGAACAGATTAATAGTCCTTTTCTGTGAGTGTAGATATTTTATTATCCTTGCAGTATGTGAATTATAAATTGATACCGTTGATGTGAAAATTCTCCAGCTTTGCAAGTAAATTTTAGGCTTCAAGGCACTTTTTCCTCCTTTGGAGCTCATGCTTCATTACTTAATAGCTGGTTCAACACACTTGAGGTTGCTTGCCTACATGTGTTGGATTTTTTAACTCGAGATGTAAAAAAGGTGGATTTTGAGATGAGGGCACAAAAAGCTCAAAGGTCCTTTTGGGAAGGGTTCACGGAAAAAGAATGAGAGAACCAATAATTTTATTCACTTGCAACTAGCCCAGATTAAATAGACTAGGTACAAATGGTCAAAAAGTGGTTGAAAGAAAAATGAATAAAGAAAAGTATTTTGAATAAAAAAATTGAGAGAAAATAGAATAAGTTCTTGGAAAATAACAAACTGCGCAGTACTTCTCATGCTCTTGTAGTAAAAACCAGATGAGCTAGTCAAGGAGAAAATATTCTAAGTCACAAATAACAAGAGGAGTTAATTCTTGTTAACCGATTTTTGACAGCACACAATAATTCAGAAAAAGGAGAAGTCAGTACCGTAGAGACAAGAACAATTGAGTTGAGCTAGTTAAGGTTCATATTTGACTCAGAAGATCCTCAAAAAACAACTATTAGCAAGCTACTTGGTAAAACTAATCCAGTCTAATTTAGGGTGAGGAGAAAGCTTAAAAGGTCAGAGAGAGAAGGAGAGGAAAATTTCAACAACATGTAATGAAATGGATATGATTAATTTGATGAGATTTGTGATGCTGATGTTAGTTTCTATTTTGGTTGACATCTGTGTCAATTGTGCGCAACTGGAAAAGAAAGAACTGATGTAGAAACTCTGCAATGGGTTGGTACAATACATTTGACATACATACTTGAATTTCAGTGGTGCAGCCGCCTTGACCTCTAGTTGATAATACAATTTCATATTAGGCAAATCCACCATTACATAATTGACTGGTTTTGAAAACCCCTCCATTTTGTAAGATGTTGGTTTTTCATCTGACTTGTTTGGGGACCTATTTGGACTGATTAACCACTACAGGAATTTAGAACTGCTTTGATTTCCTTGATTTTCTCAAGATTTAGTCTTACAGGGCCATTGCACTGCTGCTGAAATGTTGCAACAACATCTGCCAGTCCACAGTGTGAACAGTAAGCCTGTAGTTATTAATCAAACATATTTTCTTGTTTTTCCTTTGGAATTCTGTGGTCAAAAGTAAAATGATGGTTGTTCCATGTTTGAAATCACAGGATCTATCACAGTACAAGGGGGAAATAAGCCAACAACTGATGCTTATTTTGAAAAAGAAAAAGAAAAAGTCCGTTTCATCTTGTGAAAGTACATGTACAAGTTCAAGAATTTCAATTGTCTGTAAGGAAAGATAGGATGAGGACAGGTGTGTTGGGAATCTCATTTTTGCTCTGCATGCAGCTGAGCTCAAGCAGTACCAGGGGCAGTTGGATCTACCACGTTACCTGTTGGGATAAGTGAAGAGTTTGGATCAGTTGTAAGATATTTGTAGAGGATTTGGGATTAGAATGTGAGATAATCTCAAAGTGTCATATTACTTACCACAAGCAACTGCTTTATTAGTTGGATCGACAATCACAATACTTTTGCCCAGGATTCCTCTTCGAGAATATGTCAATGCGAGATTGGCATCGTAGTATACGGGGAGCGGGGTTTCTGTCTGACCGTTGCCTTTCAAAACACCATGCTTTCCGGACAAATCCTGTTTGTAAGACGTGATAGGATCCAATAAGTCAGATGAGATGTTGGTCTCAAAGAGGAAGTGTGGAATTGTTACGTACCCCTACTTCACACCGAGATGGTCTGTGGCGATCACAATGGAAATTTGGATCTTTTGCTGAGTTAACTTTCCTTGGATCCAAGCGATCCCCGGCAGTACTGCAATCAGTCCCGGTAACCGGTTTCTCGTGAACTGAACAAGATGATCGCACTCGGGATCAGTTTTCATATCAATGATTAGGCAAGAATAAACAAATCGTTTGACTTACTGAAGTAGGTATAGTCTTTTCCAGCTTCCAATCCAGCATACTTGACCGTCACACTAGTTAATGGTCTGTCAGCCTTGAAATGAGAGGTCTCTGGCGGACGATTCTCTTTGGGCACTTTCGCAAAATCGATGGTAACCTGAATGCCAGCACCGTTATTGATTTTTGCTGAGGCCGTATGTGGGTATGGATTCTTTTGTGGTGGCGGGTTGTCGGCCGCAAGTATGGACGTAAGAGTGATAGTAGAAACAACAAGCATGAAGAGATACATCTTTGTCGACATCGTTAGAATTTAATGCTCTTGGAACGTAAGGCGTCTTTTATATCGGGTCTAGAAGTCGTTTAAAGTGAAAGACTTTTCTGGTATGAAATCTATGTACAGGGAAGTCTCTGAGACTGAGTTGATATGATGAGTTGAATGGGCATGAATTTGGAGGCCAAGCAGCTTGTCTTTATAGTCTTGCCTTGTGAGGCTTGGCTAGAGCTGGGACACTCTTCGTGAGCGGCGCTGGGCGGAGACATTGGTTCTGCTCCTTGTCCATCACGGCAATCTGACCGTGTCTGAGATTGATTTCCACCGCGCTATTCCACCGGTGCAGTCGTAAGGCACCAGGTTTGATCACCCAGAGACTGAAGACCAGGAATGTAGGATGTGGCGCCCGCGACAATGTCCAATTATTTCTGACCCGCTGTCCAGGCGACAAAGCGGGGCAAGCCTGATTTGAAGGCCTATATTCTGTGCAACACTCATTATTCGCCGCATTTTTGGTGCCGAGGAGGATGGAAGACAGTTATTTTGCTGGATACCGTTGTGGTCGGCAGGCGATCCGGGCCATTCAGCCTCAAAAAAACCTGGTTTTCGGAGCGTCGCTGCCAAGCATTGCCATCGGATGATCGAACATACCTTGAGATAAGTCTCAACTCTTTGCGACGGGCAACGTCCTCTTCGACTCCCAGGACGGTTGGTCAAACCTGTCGATGTACGAGCTTGATGCCCCAAAGCCATCGGGCAGAACTTTTGCAAAGCAGTATCGATTTCAGGGGAAATTTCTACTTACCGCTCTATCCAGACCAACGGAGGCGTTTGGCTTTTTTTGATCGGTATCTTATTGTACAACAACTATGTAATGCTTTCTGAGGTCATCTCATTGCAACCGATATCCTGTTGTGGAATTTAACAGTTTCGATCATCTTCCGCGCCGCCTAGTCACAAGATACGAGCATCGATCAGGTCGGCATTGTTAGGGATGAGGCACCAATTGTAAACGTTTCTTGAGAAATTTTGGATTTTTTGTGGGGGAAATTGACGCTCTCGAAACAATCTTGCAAGAATACTCACTTCCTGTTTTTCTTACCCCCCCTGTCTTGTTAAGGATGCTCTCCAGAAAGAAGTGTGTAGATTTCGACTCGAAAGTGCGAATTGGAGTGTTCTTCTTCAGACAAAATCGTGTCGAATCAAGCAACATCTGATCATGTTAAAAATGATTTACAAACAAAAGAGGATAGCAACGATAAAGAAATCTCTCTAGGCGGGTCAATGAAGTGATGATCTTCCTGGTGAGTTTTTTTTTCTAGGGCCTTCAAACATCCTGCAAGTATTGCTACATAATCTGCTGGCGAGTGATTTCAGGGTCAATGGCCAATTGAATGACATCAGGGGATGAAGCTCAGATGAGTTAAGTTAAGGGGGTGTTAAGTTATAGCCACTCTGCGAAGTTAACTGGGATATTGAATATATGCAATATGCCCTGATGACCGCTCGATCGATCGATCGGTTCTGGAATTTCGCAACAAGCAACTTACTCATCAACCACACCCACCCACTTGACTCTCCCCTCCCTCCCTTCGACTTTGAACTCCCCGAGAACGCATTGACGACTGAAAGAAAAGCAAAAAGAAAGAATAAGAAATAGTCAAAATGGCTGGCCGACCCCAACTACCCAATATCCAACCTCAAATCATATTACTACGCGAAGGTACCGATACCTCTCAAGGCACACCCCAATTACTCTCCAACATCAATGCCTGTCTAGCTGTCGCTCAAACCGTCGCCTCAACTCTCGGACCCAGAGGAATGGACAAGCTGATTGTCGCTGTACGTCATCTTCTCTCAACTCTTTTTTATTAATTGAACTCTAGTGTCGAGGATTTCTTCTCTAACCAGTTTTTGACTTTATTTTTTCAGACCAATGGCGAAGCAACGATCTCAAACGATGGGGCAACGATCATGAAACTACTACAAGTCGTCCATCCGGCAGCCAAGACCTTGGTCGACATCGCAAGAGCTCAGGACGCCGAAGTGGGCGACGGGACAACAAGTGTCGTCTTACTATGTGCCGAGCTTTTAAAACAATGTAAGCCTTATATTGAGGAAGGCGTTAGTCCTCACGTTATCATCAAAGGATACCGCAAAGCTTGTGAAATGGTACGGTTTTCTTTCTCGGGAAACCCTTTCCTCTCTCACTCTCCGTAAAGGGTCATCTTGATACCGATCTATTCATTCTCTCACCTCACAACAACAGGCCGTTGCCAAGGTCAAGGAACTAGCCATCACGGTAGACAAGTCAGACCAAACCAAATTCAGAGACCTACTCATCAAATGTGCCTCCACCTCAATGTCCTCCAAGCTTATCCACCACCACAAGCCATTCTTCTCAAATATGGTAGTCGATGCAGTGATGACCTTGGACCAAAACGATCTGGATGAGTCGCTGATTGGGATCAAGAAGATTCCCGGTGGTGGGATGGAGGATAGCTTGTTGATCAAAGGAGTCGCATTCAAGAAGGCTTTCTCTTATGCTGGTTTCGAGCAACAGCCCAAGAGCTTTCAATCCCCCAAGTTACTATGTTTGAACGTCGAACTCGAACTCAAAGCTGAGAGGGATAATGCTGAAGTTAGGATTGAACGGGTCGAGGTAAGTTTTTCGTACTTTCTCCTAACTCCTTTAGACAGAGATGAGTGTTGAATGTATTCTTGACGATGATCACTACTACAGGACTACCAACGGGTCGTCGACGCCGAATGGCAGATCATCTTCCGAAAACTAGAAAACATCGTTGAAACAGGGGCTCAAGTAGTACTCTCACGACTCCCGATCGGAGACCTAGCCACCCAATACTTTGCCGATCGAAACATTTTCTGTGCGGGGCGGATTCCGATAGATGATCTGAAGAGGGTAGTCCAAGCGGTTGGAGGCTCGATCCAATCGACGACCACCGACATCCATGACTCCCATCTGGGCTCATGCGAGAGCTTCGAGGAACGCCAGATCGGCGCCGAACGGTATAACGTCTTCCAGGGCGGTAAACACTCGAAGACCTGCACGTTGGTCCTCAGAGGTGGGGCTGAACAGTTTATCTCTGAAGTCGAGCGAAGTTTGCACGATGCGATCATGGTCGTCAAGAGGGCCATCAAAAACAATCAAGTCGTCGCAGGAGGTGGTGCTTGTGAGGTAATGATAAAACAAATGCTAGCAGAAATGCGTTTTTTTTTCATTCTCGACATTGATTTTGATTTGATTTGATTTTACATTACACGTATACTTAGATGGAGGTCTCGAAATATCTACGAGAAGAGTCAAAATTGATCCAAGGGAAACAACAATTAATGCTAGCATCATATGCCAAATCACTTGAATGTATTCCCCGACAATTATGTGACAATGCCGGCCTAGATGCGACGGATATCTTGAACAAATTACGGATGTTACACGCTCAGGATCAGAAATGGATCGGAGTGAATCTCGAAGTCGATCTCGATCTGGGCGTTGCTGATAATTATGAGAAGTTCGTTTGGGAACCTGCGCTGGTTAAGACTAATGCCTTGGAAGGAGCGACTGAAGCCGCTTGTATGATTCTAAGGTTTGTTCCCCCTTCCTTCAATCAGACCGACTCTTTTAATAATCATCTTGACTGACTTGACTTGTCCATGTTTTCTCCTTGTAGTGTTGATGCCACCGTTCGAAATCCGCAATCTGAAAAACAAAGTGCGGGGCCTCAGATGCCCAGAGGAGCTGCAAGGGGAGCTCTGAGAGGTCGGGGCAGAGGTCGATAGACAACACACCCCCGTCAAAGAAAATGACAAAAAATAAAACAATGAATCGATTATTATTTTTTAAAAAAAACCCTTGTTGCTACTCTTTCTTTCTTTCTGTGCGCTAAATAATCATAACGATCAAATACCTCAAACGTATTCTCGCTATTTAACCCCCCCCCCCTCTTTCTGTTTGTTTAACAAAAAAGGGGAAGAAAAAGAAAAGAACGACCTTTTGCTTTTTGTGTGTTTGTGTGTGTTTTATTCAGACATATTTAGTAACAAACAATGTGGAGTAATAATGGTGCAGAACCAGATGCTTCATTGCCAAGTCTCTCTTGACCAAACAGAAAGATGCCTCTACATTACACTGGTCAGTCTTTCAAGAATATTGGACGTTTGTAGTTCAAGTACCCCTTTTCTTCCTTCCAAGACAAGTACATAAGTTGGTCAAGGAGCTCACAGATACGTCATACATACAGGCTGGCACTGCCACAAATGAATTATGAATGATGACTTATTACTGTAGATTAAATTTCTTTCAAAGAGCAAGATCAGCAATCATCTCATCCTCAGCTTTCAGTGTTCTACATCAATAGAGATATATTCAGTTCTAGCAAGCAGAGAGAGAATATGTATATGTTTTCCCTACAAAGTTCCCATGTAAAGAAGACCTCCAAAAGCCATTCCAATTGGTCAATCTCATCCAGCAGTTCTCTCAACAGTTAAATATGTACACTAGACAGACTGTCACTGTCGCAGAGATCTTGGGTTGGGTTGGATGAATTTGAAAACCTTGAGTGTGTGGCAGGTCTGTCGGCCCGCAGTCAGTGCTCAGCCAAAGTTCCCAAACCTTCTTCATCCGTTGCTGTGTCTTCCCTCCCCTGTAAAGGCTGCCCATGTATTTCTTCAATTGTAATACACACGCAGGGCACTTCACAAAAATCAGTGCATCCCAGGGATGACATTGCACCTGAGATGTCCCTGGGACGGGATGCTGTCCCCAGGACATCACACTTCACAAGAATTGGCGCGGCCCAGGGATGCCATTGTATCTGAGATGTCCCTGGGCCGGGATGCTGTCCACAGGACATCACTGTCCATGCCTGGCATCCCTGCCACATCCCACTTAAAAAATGTAGCGTGGCCCAGGGATGTCATTGTCCCTGAGCCATCCCCGCAACCCGCATGCCGCCCCCAGGTCATCACCGCTCCCCCTCATACCAATCCTCAAGACAGCAGTGCAATTCTTTTTTTTATCATTGGCCTGAGCCCATTCAGCTCTGATGAACAGACAGATGATCCATGGGTGATTTCATTTCACCCATGGTTTCAATGAGGAGTTGGCCACACCGATCCTCAAGACACAGTGAAGCTTTCTTTTTTTCATTGGCCTGATGCCGGTTCAGCTCTGATGAACAGGTATCAGGCCAATGATTGGTGTCTTTTCATATTTGGGAGTCGGCCTTGGGCAACAAGGCAGACTCCCCCTCAAGACAGCGGTCAAATTTTTTTTTCTCATCAGACTGATGCCCCTTCAGCTCTGATGAACAGGCATCAGCCCAATGATCCTTGTCTTCATTTTTGGGGGTTGGTCTTTGGCAACAAGGCAGACTCCCCCTCAAGACAGCTGCACAATATTATTTTCTTCTCATTGGCCTCAGCCTGTGCAGCTCTGATGAACAGGCATCAGGCCGATGAGCCTTGTCTTTTGATAATTGGGAGTTGGCCTTGGGCAACAAGGCAGACTCCCGAGTCGTCCGTTTCGTGTTGAATGGTGGATCAGCACCCATCAACTCCTTTCGGAATGATTGTCGCACAGTCATTCCAAATCAATAATCAGCAACGGTGGAGACGGTCCACGTTGGCCCAAATAAGTCCTTCAACCTGGACCGTCTCATTCCCTTTGCTTTTGCCCAAACCTCGAACCTGTTCGGTCATTGACCCAATCTCAATCCCCTCATCTCCAATCCAAATTTTTACGATCCAGTATCCATCGCCATATCTCAAATCTAACTCATTCACAACATGTCGGTTGTAGTATCCTCAGAGGCGGAGAGCAAATATCGCGGCAGCAATGATTCACCCTCGCCAGCCCCAGACACCCCTGGCCGTCGCACACGTGTGACGACCCAAGCAACCAGCGGAGCTTCTCAGGCTACAGCGCCGGACACTCCAGGCCCTCGAACGATTGAAAATCTTGAATTCAGCACTCACTGGCACATGTTTCTTTCGTCTAACCAGGGTTCCCTTTTTTTAATCTCACTCAGTTAAACCAGCATTTTCACCCTCGCGCCTCTGGGAACCGCTGCCTTCGAACTTGATTAATCAACATCCAGACCATCGCCCCATTCCCGATTTGAGCCTCAGTTTGATAGTCTAGCCGAGGAACCAGAAGAAATGGATCAGGAGGACCGTCGAGCTGGGAATGAGCACGAGAACGGGACTGAACTGGCAGAGAATGAGAACCAGAGTTGGAAAGCGGAGGATCCGAGATGGAATGAGGAATCCGACCAATTGATCTCGGATATGATCAGTCAGATCCAATCCAATTCGTGCAAAACACGTGAACGGACGATCTCCAGTGAAGTTTATCAGCCAAGCCAGACCGGCAAACGGCGCCGATTGATCAGCGGGAATGGCACGACAAGTCCGGATAAGCCAGTCTTCCAGTTCGTCAGCCACGTCCGTCCAGTCTCAGACCCTGACCATAGCCACCAGATGTCCGTCCAGGCCTTCCCTCAATTGACCCATCAAGAATCTCTGTCAGGTCCTATCTGGCCGACCGTCCGCCGTAGCCAGGGGAGCATTGGACGGCTACCAGCTCGCCCGCAAAGGGGGGCTTCTTCAATTTTGCCAGACCAAATGGGCCGCGGGACCTCAGGTCTAGTTTGACCCCCCCCCGCTCCCCAACAGTGCACCTGCAAGAGACGCGGCTGAGGCCTGAAGAACCCCTTTGGGTTGGTTACCTTTTTTTTCTCTTGTATATAGTGCTTGTTTCTTTCTAGGCTGGTTTGCACTGGTGCATTTCTCAACCAGATTTTTGTAGGTTTTTTGTTGTTGTTGTAAATGACCAATCATATGTTTCAGTGTGTTATTCAGAATATATACCATTTCACTATTTGATTCACTGTCTGCACATTGGTGTGTGATTATTGTGCAGCAATTATCCTTGAGCTTGCTGGTGGATGTGGATGTGTATGTGCTGCACAATTGCCTCAAGGAGGACATTTTTTGCCAAAACAAATACTGCAATGCCGTCTTGGTGACTGTCAGCCTATGTGATGCCAAGACACAAGTCTTCTAGCTACACAAGGTGCAAAACTAAGAGTTTTTATGGTAAAAACTCTGGGATAAAAGGATGGAACAAGTAATTCAAAAGAATTACGTGGATTTTATGGATTAAATCAAAAATGTGGCCAATTTATATTAATAAAATTTAATATAAATAAAACCAGAGGGCCTGATAAATCAGGGGTGGTTTAATCCTCTAAGGTATCGTGCAAAAAGCAGAGGATTTAGGTACCTGATACACTGGGGCCTGTAGCAGGTGTGGTTTAAATCCCAGGAGATAATTTTAAGGGGAAAATCTTCAAGAAAGGGTTATTACTTACTAGTAATAATCCTAAGGGGTCTTGAGGATCTTCAGGGCAGAAACTGGACAGTTGGGAGCGCTCAGAATTGTTGATTTTGGGTGCTGGAAGTTAACTGGGGAGTTTCTTGAGGATTCTTGAGGCTTTAATAACAGCAAAAATAGTAATAACTAGGCTAGTTACAAGTGTATGGGACTTGTAAATGGTAAGTAAATTTCTATAAGGTATTCTAAAGCTGGGGGATCATTATTTGGGCGGTCAGAAGGCCCTTTAAATACCTGTGGAAGGCCTCAGGGGTTGCTCAGGGGAGCTTAGTAGGTCTTGAGCGCGCTTATTGGGCCATTTTGGCCCACCTAGAGACGTAACAAGGGCTGAAACCTTGGGGATAACATTCTAGAAGCTCCCAGGGGTCAAGCACGAGTTTATTTGAACCAAGAATATTCCTTGGGAGCCTGTGGGTAAGGGGTAGTCTGTTACGTGGAGCCAATACCTTGGAAATGGGCCACAGAATGTGCCAGAACTGGTTTCTGGGGCTTGTTACACGTGCTACAAACTGGAAGATGGAATATCCACAGTTACTGTAGTATATTCATGGATATTCTAGTTTGTTTATATTTTTACTACACGTGTAGGGGCTTTGTTGACACGTGCACAGAGAGTTTCTGGGGCTTTGTGGCCAATTCCTTGGATACTGGTAACCCAGAGGGGGTTATGCATGTATCCAAGGCGGGTAGGCATACCTAGCACGCGCGGGGGCTTGAGCCTTGGGCTCAATTGTAGTTAGGCGCGCCTGTCAACAGTGCGCAGCATGACTACGCGGCGCGCGGGCTTGGAGACAGTACACGCCACGCTGGTCTATCTTCCAAACTATACACAACACTCCAAATCTGAGACAAAATTTGGAGTATATGCATATTGTCATGTGTAATGCATAATTATTCAGGTGCCCGTGATCCATGGGTACCTGTTAATTCTTCAAGTGAGTATTACATGATGAAGGAGTTATAATTAGGGGTACCTTTGGCTGAGGTACCCTAGGTTAAATTATGCGTAGATTCAGAATTTGTAATAATAATTAAAGTTTTATCTACTATTTCTAAGTTATTTATTTATTTTGTGTATTTTTTATAGTATTTACATAAGTAATAGTGTTTCTTTTACTTATGTAATATTTTTACTTTATACTTAGATTTTTTATATAATTTATTATTTTATTTGCTTATGATAGGTTGTCTCTGCCATAGTAGCAAGCTGACATTCCCTACCCCTAAGATGAGTTTACTCATGAAAAAAGAAAAAGGATAGAAAAAAAAATTTCAGCCACCATTCAGGATGTTCTCTTGGAAGCTCTGTAATTTCTCAAATGTATGGCTCCATCTGGGATATTATTCTCAGGTAGCCATTCATCTTTGTCTGCTGACTGGTTCTTATATCTTATCAGGTACAGTCTAGTGTCTTTTCCTTGTACCCTCTCTTTCTTATCTTTGAGTATCTTATGAACTTTAAGTTTCTCAGTGGAAGGAGTTTCTAGAACTGGTACTGGTTCTGGGGTTACAGGAGTATCTGCTGTTCTTTGAGTGTAAGGTTTAACAAGACTTACTGGAAAAACAGGGTGTTTTCTAGATAATTCTTCACTCAATATGACCTCTACAGCATTCTTCCCGTGTAGCTGTTTAATAGTGAAAGGACCAACAAATGAAGGTTTGAGTTTCTTGTTCCCACCAAGGTTATTAAAATTTACAGTGGACAGAAGTACTTTATCTCCAATCTTGAATTCAGGTTCTTTATGACTCTTATCCCATCTATTCTTATTATACTCTACAGCATCTTCAACACATTTTTTGGCATGTAAATTCGTGGAATCTAACATTTTCTTGAAGTCCAGCGCTGTAGGGTGTACATGAGGCAATTTGTCATTGATGGTATCTTTGGGCATGCGTGGGATCCATCCTCTTTCAAGTATATATGGAGCTTCTTTGGTAGAGGAGTGTATGCTACTATTATAAGCTATCTCTAAGGCAGGTAGTAGGCTTACCCAGTCATGAGTGTATCCATCATGATTTTTGAACTCAAATCCAAATGAACAGAATCTTCTGAGCATGTCTTCCAGGGTTTGTATCATCCTTTCAGCTAATCCATCAGTTTGTGGGTGATAGGCAGTAGAGAAAGCTAATTTTGTACCTAACATATCATGTAGGTTTCTCCAGAATTCAGACGTGAATTTAGGGTCTCTGTCACTAATGATTATTTTGGGAATGCCTACGTCAGCCATTAGTCTGTTCCAGAATAACATAGCTACTTCCATTGCTGTGTCATCTTTATGATTAGGAATAAATTTTGCCCTCTTAGAAAATCTATCAACTATGACTAGTACTGAGTTGTAGGAGTAGGATCCTCCTGGGGGTAATCCGGTAACAAAGTCCATATTAATGATTTCCCATTTGTCTGTGGGTTCAGCAATTTTCTGAAGTAGTCCAAATCTCTTGCCTGTCTGTTTATTTGCTTTCTGACAGGTGTCACAAGACTTAATATATTCATGGACGTGGGTTTTCCAGTCAATCCACCAGGCAGTTTGTTTGACCCTTTCTACTGTTCTTTCTTCTGAGAAGTGGCCACAATTCACATTATCATGACATTCTTGTAGAATATTTTTTATTTGTCCTTCATCACACAAGACAAGTACACTAGAGTGTTTGTGCCTGTAATACAGTAAACCATCAAATAGCGTAAATTTACCTAATTTGTAATGTTTGGACAGAACAGGTGGTAAACTAGCAGCTAGTTCTGGGGGGCTACTGTCATTTCTCAATATTTCTACCAATTTCAATAATTCACTATTTTGGTCATAACTTCTCTGAACTAATTCATAAAAAGCATTTTCCATGTCACAGACGTGAATTCCCAAAATAGGAAATATGTCTTCATCCTCAGGATCATATGCAGGGTTATCAGGGGTATTAGGGAGTGCCCATCTGCTTAATCCATCAGCATTCATGTGTTTCTTGCCAGCTTTATGGATTATGGTCATATGCCCTCTATACTGCTGAATAGCAATTTGCCATCTTAACATGTGTCTGTTGGGAGTTTTCATATTCATTAGAGTTTTAACTGCGGTACAATCAGTGATAACTACAAAGTTAGAGCCTTCTAAGTAGTAATGTAATTTATCTAGAGCCCATACCAATGCTAAGCATTCCATCTGACTGGCTCCATATTTCCTCTCAGATTCCTTAATTTGTCTGGATATGAAAAGAACTGGTTTTCCATGGGTTTGTCATCTACAATAAATTCCTGATGAAGAGCATCTCCAAGCCCATCCAAGCAAGCATCAATATAAAGTATAAATGGCTTGTCATAATCAGGTTGAGCTAGGACTGGTGCAGAAGTGAGTAACCTTTTCAATTCTTCATAATTTTTTACTCTTTCCCAGATCATCTCATAAATGATGTCATCTTTGCATAGTGCGTATAGATTCTTACTCACTATGGCAAATTGAGAGATATGTTGCCTATAATAACTACAAAAGCCTAAAAATGACATCATTTCTTTCAAGTTATGAGAGAGAGCCTTGTTCATCACAGCAGCCACTTTGTTTTGATCTACAGCTAAGGTTAGGCCAGATACTATCCTACCAAGAGCTTTGAGTTCTCCGTAACCAAAATTGCATTTTTTAATGGACATCTTTAAACCAGTTTTGATGGCGGTACTAAGCACCAGATTAATCTTTTCCAAGTGTGTTTCCCAGTCATTTGAATATATAATTATATCATCTATGTAAACCATCATCCAGTCTTGTCTGATAAAAGCACCAAAAATTGAGTCCATCATTCTTTGGAAATGGGAAGGGGCATTTTTGATTCCAAATGGCATTCTCAAATATTCATATATTCCCAAATGACAAATTATTCTCAAAAATTGTCTGCTATCTGGGTCAATGGGTATTTGATGGAAACCTTTAAGAACATCCATAGTAGTGATGTATTTAGCTTTGGATAAATTATGCAATGAGTGATCAATACATGGAATTGGGTAATAATCAGGTCTAGTGTAATTATTCAGAGCTCTGAAATCTCCAACCATTCTTGACTTCTCATTATGCCAAGCAATAATTACTGGGGTAGTAATTTCTACTTGTTCATTGTGTCCAACTTTCCTCAGCACGCCTAATTCCATTAGCTCTTTAATGTGAGTTTCTAAAGCCTCTCTGGATTTGGGACTGGAAGGATAAGGGGGTCTTCTCAGGATAGGGGGATAAGGTTCTTTAACAGTTAATTCCAACTTCATGTCATGCCCTTTTATGTTACCAATAGGTTCTTCAGTAGTACAAAAGGATTCTTTATTTATGAAGCAAGTTTTAAGTACTTCTAATTTCTGTTGCTCATCTAGAATATCACTAACAGCTGCTTGAGACAGATATTCAGCTTTGAAGGACATCATTTCTTCCGTCATTTCATCTGGCACATCAGGGAGTTTGATATTCACATTGCAAATTTGGAATTTCCTTTTCCAATCTCCTCCAATAGTGTAGAATCTGCTTTTACTTTGAAATATGTCAATTCCATACATGCAAAAAGTGTCATTTCCTAGGATCAAATAATCACAAATGGCATCTTGGAGGACTACAAATTCTATGGACAGTCTTAAAGATCCTTTGGAGTGAGGAAAGATTAATGGCATTACTACAATTCCTAAGGGTTTCATTGAAGAATTACAACTACTAAACTTTGCTTTGGGGACAGGCAGCAAATTATTTTTCCATTCTGGATGTATTTCATCTAAGAAGTTGCTACTGGTACACGAGCAAAAGGCTCCAATATCTAACAAAGCTTTCACTGATTTATCTTCAAATAAAACAGAAGTGTAACTAGTTTTTCCCATAGTGTAACTCATTCCCTTTTCTGGTTTATTAGTGAGCAACTTAGCATCAGAAATATGACCAATTTTCATGGAAGAATCCCATTTTTGCGGTAAATTAGAATCTCCTTGGATGGTATTGATATGTAATTCATCACCAATATCAGCTTGGATTACCACAATTCTATGTGACTCCTCTTCTCCTGGTTCAGTGGTTATGACATCAAATTGAGATCCAGAGTCATATTCACTGTCAGTTTCTTCATATACTTCCACATTATTGATCTTTTTGCGGGAATTAGGGCACTCAGGTCTTTTGTGGCCCTTTTCTCCACAATTATAGCACTCAGGTACACTAGCTTTTCTTATGGGGGCTTCAGCTGTAGGAGCTTTTTCTTTGACATTTTCTGGCTTGATGAATTCCCTTTTCTCAGGTATATTACTTCTGACGTATTTTTTATTCAAGTTGTTCATAATAACAACTTCTTCTAATACTCCTACAAATTCAGTCAAATCAACGTCCATATCTTTTAGTCTACATCTGACTAAGTGCTCTATGGTTCCTTTGCACTGAGTTAATAATCTGTCATTGATTTCCTCAGCTGTGGGGTTAGAGTAAATACATTCAATTCTTTTCTTTTGGAGCAAGCACCACTCTCCAACAGAATGCTTGATAGGGTCAAAATAATCACTCTCAAAGGCTATTCTTTTAGCAGTTTTCCATACTCTGGTACTGAATCTGGCAATAATTAATTCTTTCCAGGTTGCCCAGCTTTGTAACCCTATAGACTGGCTTTTGGTCACAAACCAATCTCCTGCAATTCCTTTCATTATCCTAGGAAGCTTGGAGGTAATCATATCATCTGGGGCCATGTAAGTTCTTAGCAGATAATCTATATATTTAATGAAACTAATGTGATCATATTCATCTTTACCATCGAATTCTGGCCAGTCTTTGATAGGAGGCATGTATTTGTGTAGATTGGCTAATTCAGCAGCCGTATAAGGAGTGGAATTTCTTATGAAATCTGTTTCCTCATCTGTTTTCCTCTGCATTCTAGGATCAGGAGAGTAGTTTTTTATTTGTGGAGTACTAGATAGCATAAGCGGATTATTATACTTAGGTTCCTCAGATGGTGCTGGTAAAGGAGGCTCATCTTTTTTGTTATAGGACATATGAGGGGCTCCTTCTTTCACTTTTGCTATGTGTTGAGAATTCCCTTCCGGAAAGCTCTTACTTTTACAGTCATAATTGGTAGAGCGCGCCTCAGAGGCAACTAGGTTCTCATAGTGGCTTTTAAAATTTTTGAACTCATTTTGCATTACATTCTGTAGCGCTACTAGATCTTTACTTAATCTGTTGAACCTCTCTTCGCCATGATGATGCTGTTGTAGTAACAGATTTTTTAGCTCATCCAATTGGGATTCGGTTCTGGATCTATTCACTATGTTGTCTTGTCTCAGGGAGGACAAGATAAAATCTGCACTGGAGTTATGCAACGCCGCTGAATTTCTAGAGAATTGGGCTATCTCATTGGTGATCTCTTTATTATCTTTCGCTTTTTCTCTCAAATACTCAACATCCTTTTGGACAACAGTGAGTAACTCGCTGTGTTTACTAGTCATCTCAATGGGTAACGGACGCTCTAACAGTTTAATTATCTGCAATACTTTAGAATCTAAACTTTCTTTGATTTTATTAACAGACGATTCGAGATTAGATACAATGGAAGAGAAATTCAACTCGCTATTAGAATCTAATGTGGAAAGGTTAAAGTCAAGCGATTCCAAAGAATCTAGTATAGCGTGAGCAAGTTTAGAATTTAATTGAGGTTCTGGTAGAGACCGGCGGCTACTTTGAGAAGGTCCGCTACGTTCCTCCATTTGGCTGGGTCGGAGTAGTTGGTCGTGTTCGAACTCTGTTTCTTTCCGGGTTGGTTCTTTTTGAACTTCATTAGTTCTTTCTTTGGGGGAGAGGGGAAGTGTATTTTCTTTTCCTCCCAGGTCCACCTTTGACATAGCTCTCGATCTCGTCGTGTCGATGAGTTTTGCAGAGCCTCTGACTCTCCTGAGCAGTAGTCAGTAAGCTCTGAGCTGCGTCGATCTCTCTGGATGCTACCTGACATGCTCCAGAGCCCGACGTGCTCTTTCACCCGGAGTTTGATTGATCCTCCTCGAGAGGACTCGAATCTCCGGCGTGATAGGGCGTTTCAGGGTAGCTACCGAGCATTCTGGTTCGAGCTCGTCCACGTCCATAGCCGTATGATTCTCCGTATTCTGATTCGGGCTTCTTGGCTCGTGGTCGAGGTTTCTGCTGTCCCCTTGCGCGCTATGGTCGTCATCTGGAGGCCTTCTACTCGGGTTTGTAGCTCCTTTGCCGCCGCGAGGTCGCGTTGGAGCTGGGAGGGGGCCTCGTAAGTCTGTGCAGTTTGACCTTGTAGATTTAGTCATGTTGATTAGTTTATCGCTCACTGATAGAAAGTACGTCTAAAGAAAAAAGGTACTAACCCTTGTCAGCAGGATCTGAGGATCCGTTATCAGTGTCCACGGAAGGAGTTGGACTAGCTCGTTCTTGTCGGATAACACCAGTCTCAAAGGTAGACACTGGAAAGTAGAATGGTAGGAATGAGGTTTGATTCACTTCGCCGAAATAATAAAAAAAAAGGAACCTTACTCTTATCGAGATATCTTTTGCGGCGGAGTTGGGTATTTTTCTCTCGGATCTCACGAAGGAAGCCTCGGAACTTGATCTGTTGATCGAGATCTTCTTCCTGATGAATGTGAGCGTGATAGGTGGCAAGAAGGAGTTGTTCGTCTTCCGATAACTCTTCCCAAGGTGTAGGAATGTAGCTGCGATCCGCTTCTTCTTTTCGTAATCTAAGATGAAGGAGGTAGCGCTGGATTAATTCCGCGTTCTCTTGTAGATTCACTATAAAAAATTTGGGAAGGAAGGTTTTTTTTTTTAGGAAAGATTTTTTTATTCGAGGATAAGAATTTGGAAAGGGAAGCCGTAAAAAATTGAGATATGATTTTTTCTAAGGGTTTGGTTTTTTGTAGAAAGAAGAATGATATATATATATTTTTTTTTCTTTTATGTATATTTTTCTGTAGTAATGAAAGGATAATCGTAAAAAAAAGATAGTAATTTCTTATGGGTTTTTTTTTAATTTTCTGTGAGAAAAAATAGGAATAAAATCCAGGTATCTTATTTTATTAAAAGGGAGTTTTTAATAAAATTTTCCCGGCCAGACCCCCAATTGTCAGCCTATGTGATGCCAAGACACAAGTCTTCTAGCTACACAAGGTGCAAAACTAAGAGTTTTTATGGTAAAAACTCTGGGATAAAGGATGGAACAAGTAATTCAAAAGAATTACGTGGATTTTATGGATTAAATCAAAAATGTGGCCAATTTATATTAATAAAATTAATATAAATAAAACCAGAGGGGCCTGATAAATCAGGGGTGGTTTAATCCCTCTAAGGTATCGTGCAAAAAGCAGAGGATTTAGGTACCTGATACACTGGGGCCTGTAGCAGGTGTGGTTTAAATCCCAGGAGATAATTTTAAGGGGAAAATCTTCAAGAAAGGGTTATTACTTACTAGTAATAATCCTAAGGGGTCTTGAGGATCTTCAGGGCAGAAACTGGACAGTTGGGAGCGCTCAGAATTGTTGATTTTGGGTGCTGGAAGTTAACTGGGGAGTTTCTTGAGGATTCTTGAGGCTTTAATAACAGCAAAAATAGTAATAACTAGGCTAGTTACAAGTGTATGGGACTTGTAAATGGTAAGTAAATTTCTATAAGGTATTCTAAAGCTGGGGGATCATTATTTGGGCGGTCAGAAGGCCCTTTAAATACCTGTGGAAGGCCTCAGGGGTTGCTCAGGGGAGCTTAGTAGGTCTTGAGCGCGCTTATTGGGCCATTTTGGCCCACCTAGAGACGTAACAAGGGCTGAAACCTTGGGGATAACATTCTAGAAGCTCCCAGGGGTCAAGCACGAGTTTATTTGAACCAAGAATATTCCTTGGGAGCCTGTGGGTAAGGGGTAGTCTGTTACGTGGAGCCAATACCTTGGAAATGGGCCACAGAATGTGCCAGAACTGGTTTCTGGGGCTTGTTACACGTGCTACAAACTGGAAGATGGAATATCCACAGTTACTGTAGTATATTCATGGATATTCTAGTTTGTTTATATTTTTACTACACGTGTGGGGGCTTTGTTGACACGTGCACAGAGAGTTTCTGGGGCTTTGTGGCCAATTCCTTGGATACTGGTAACCCAGAGGGGGTTATGCATGTATCCAAGGCGGGTAGGCATACCTAGCACGCGCGGGGGCTTGAGCCTTGGGCTCAATTGTAGTTAGGCGCGCCTGTCAACAGTGCGCAGCATGACTACGCGGCGCGCGGGCTTGGAGACAGTACACGCCACGCTGGTCTATCTTCCAAACTATACACAACACTCCAAATCTGAGACAAAATTTGGAGTATATGCATATTGTCATGTGTAATGCATAATTATTCAGGTGCCCGTGATCCATGGGTACCTGTTAATTCTTCAAGTGAGTATTACATGATGAAGGAGTTATAATTAGGGGTACCTTTGGCTGAGGTACCCTAGGTTAAATTATGCGTAGATTCAGAATTTGTAATAATAATTAAAGTTTTATCTACTATTTCTAAGTTATTTATTTATTTTGTGTATTTTTTATAGTATTTACATAAGTAATAGTGTTTCTTTTACTTATGTAATATTTTTACTTTATACTTAGATTTTTTATATAATTTATTATTTCATTTGCTTATGATAGGTTGTCTCTGCCATAGTAGCAAGCTGACAGTGACACCAAAGTCCTGCAGAAGTAAAATCTTTGAGGAGACAGCCCTGAAACACCTCCAGGACAGCAGTGGGATGCATTGGGGGGACATCACGTGGATGCTCCACAAGGACGTCCCATGGATGGCCTTTTTTTGTGGAGGAGCACGCGCCTGGGATGCTCTGATCTGTGGGGGCTGCTGTCCTGGTGCCATCCCCGGGGACCCTGCCACTGGGATGTCCAACTGCACTGGTGGTGTAGGACCCCAATAATATTGGTGTGTGTGGTTGAAAGCTTAGCTGGCAGTGTTGTACACATAAACATTTGTTTCGTGGGTTTGAGTGGAAAGGCATGGCGACCGAGTTGTACACCACCGGGCGTGGTGGATGGCATTTGGACACCCAATCGGATGTACCAGATGCCATCCGACCTTGGCCCTGCAAGGAGCATCCATTGGATGCGACTTGCATATTGCTGAACCCGGATGGTAGGGCCAAACCATCCATCGGATGGTAGGATTAGAAGCCCTTGGGGGCAAAAATGCCAGGCCTGGGTTTGAACCCATGACCTCCAGGTGGTGCCACCAGTGACTCCACAGAGGCAGTACTTTGCCACTCGACTATACTAGATTCTTGATATTCCACTGGTCAAAGAGTCAACTACATACCCGCGCTGCATTTTTGGATCGTTTTTCGACCATCGACCACCTTTTGAATAATTTTTCGACAATCGACCCTTTTTTTTCCACTGCCGGACCCGGGTGAAAACCATCAATCGGACACTCTGAGAAGTGTCCGATTGATGGTTTTCTTGTTGTCCATCGGACACTCCCAATCAAGTGTCCGATGGACACCGGGCTGTACACCATCCTCTGGATGGTCTCGCCTGCCAAGCATCCCT